AAAGACACAATGGCGCGTGTTGGGGCTGATATAAAACAGAAATTGATTGAATCAATAAGAAGCACGTGGACAAGCATGTGGAAGACTCAGCCACCTAATGATAGACAGTTGGAGAAGGTAAGAAGACGGTAGCTCAGTGGTTAAAACACTGGACTTCTAATCTGCAGGTCCTGTGTTCGAATCCTGTCATGTAGCAATGTGTTACATATGTACATTTATCGTATGTTGTTACGGTGAAGGAAAACATCGTGATGCTGCACTCTGAGAAAGTCAAATGTGTGTAGTCTTGCACTGGACCAGCATTCACTATTACATACTCTCACTTAGAGTACACTCTGAGTGGGGACTTAGAGCTGATTTATACCCGACTCATTTTAAATTTGATTTTCACTTAGAAAATGGTAATTTTTTGCTCGACTGACATGAATATGTTATTTCGCCCAGCTTATAGGAAACCTGACTGATACTTCTTCTGGCTCTACAGCCCTTTGTGGGCCTTGGCTTTGTCCAGCAACTTTTTCCACCTCGGTCTATCTCTGGCAACAGACTTCCAATTTGCTATGCCCATTTTTTTTTGCGTCTTTATTTCGATGCCAGACTGATAGTAAATTATTATTGTCACGACTGACATAAATTTGATAATTGTTACGACTGACATAACTGTGATATTTGTCACGACTGACATAAATGTAATAATGTCACGATAGACATAAATAATTTTTTCTTGACTATTTGAAAGTTATATTTTGTGACTTGAAGATGATACCTAACATATATAAAACGCCAATAGCCTAATGGTTAAGGGTACGGATTTCCAATCACGAGGTGGAGAGTTCGAATAGTATACGATTATTGTAGACCATAACACAATCAAAAATGTTAATTTAAGAAATTTTAATAAAAAAAATCTATAAATTTCTTCTTTCAGGTAGTAGAAGAAGAAATGGAGAAAGAGCAATTGGCAGAAGATAAAGAAGAGATTCATGACACTACTGAGGTAAAGTTAAATTATTTGTTTTTTATGTTAATTATTTTGTAACATCCTGTATCGTAGTGAACAGATTTTGACAAATAAGGTGTCATTCGATTCGTATTCTTACAAAGAGTGTCATAAGGTTTTTGCTATGCTAATATATATAGGCTCTTTGTACTTTTAGACATGAGTTAGAATAATTTGACGCATGCGCACTTTCGTAACAAAGTCTTGTGTCAGATGTAGTGAGGGAACATAAACGTTGATGTTAATAAGGCTAGTGTTGCGATACACCGGCACTGTCGGATTTTCTTCATAACAGTGTTGAATAAACTCAAAAACCACTAAATATAATAGATTTGAATAATTTTTTCACTGTTAGAAAGTTACACTATCCCTTAGTGAAATAAGGTTTTTTTTATATATAAAATATTAGCAGATTTCTTTGTAAATTTACTAATATTTCTTTTACCATTCCAACTAAGCTCTATGCTTGTGCTAGGATATGATTTACGACAATAGTCGGATGACGGGATTCGAACCCCCGACCTCGTGATCGGCAATCCGCACCCTTAACCATTAGGCTATTGGCGCTTCATATGGTACATTTATTACTATTTTTTAATTCGGCGTTAAGAAGTCGTGGGCAACTGCTAGTAGGTGGTAAATGAGTTATAGCATGAATTCGCTGTAATAGCGAAATCTCACACTTCTATAGATATCCGCAATTGCAGATGTATTGTCTACCTTTAATCAACAGAGTAGGGGACGCACAGAGAAGATACATTAAAACGTGGCAGTGTATTGACCCAACACTAGCCTTATTAAAATATGAACGTTTATGACGACACAAGACTTTGTTACGAAAGTGCGCTTGCGTCAAAGGATTTTAAGTAATTAAGTCTCATCATCATCATCATCATCATCAGCTCACTATACGTCCCCACCGAGGGGCTCGGAGCCTACCCTGAGTTAAGGGTGATTAGGCCATAGTCAACCACGCTGGTCAAGTGCGGGTTGGTTGACTTCACACATATCTTTGAATTACT